CTGGGGGGCTGTGGGGAACACACCGGCAGTGTCTCTCTGGGGGGCTGTGGGGTACGCACCAGGAGTGTCTGTCTGGGGGGGCTGTGGGGAACGCACCAGCAGTGTCTCCTTGGGGGGCTGTGGGGAACACACCAGGAGTGTCTGTCTGGGGGTGCTGTGGGGAACACACCAGGAGTGTCTCCCTGAGGGCTGTGGGGAGCCTGGGTCAGTTAGAGGCAGGAGCAGCAGAAAGGTAGCCTCTCCACACATGTTGTCTGGGGTCTGCAGCAGACTCATCTGAGACAGGTGGAGTGGTTAAAAATGCAGGCTGTTGTCCCGTTGGGTGCGTCTGGACTGGACCCAGGAGTATGTGTTTTTAACAGAAATCCACCTCCCCATGCACATAACACAGTGATTCTGTCGTGCACTGAGTTTTGAGGGTCCCTCTGTGAGTTCCTGCTGCTGCGGGGAAGCCGCCCACAGCCCACCCAGGGATCCTTGGCTCCCCTTTCCGTTCATGTGGCGGTCGGTCTGGGTGGCTGTGTGTCCGTCCTTCTGTGGAGTCAGGCTTACCACCTCCTTCCTCTTGCTTGGGCCTGGAGGCAGTCACAGTGGGAAGATGAGACGGGGCTGGGACACAGTAAGCCAAGAGGTGTGGAATGGATGGGTGGTGCAGAGGCTTAGTGACACACACCCACCACTCAGCCTCTCTCAGGCTGGCCGGGGGTGACAGTGGCCCCAGGGGCTTAGGCGACTGTCTTGTCTCCGGGGCACAGGCTCCGGGCGTGGGGAGGCCGAGACGCGGGAGTGCATCTACTACAACGCCAACTGGGAGCTGGAGCGCACCAACCAGAGTGGCCTGGAGCGCTGTGAGGGTGAGCAGGACAAGCGGCTGCACTGCTACGCCTCCTGGCGCAACAGCTCCGGTACCATCGAGCTCGTCAAGAAGGGCTGCTGGCTGGACGACTTCAACTGCTATGACAGGTGTGCTGGCTCGGGGGCCTTGGGACGTCTGGGAAACCCAGCCTGGCATTCGGGGTGGGAGGGGAGGCGGAGGAGGGCGCTCTAGACGCCTGGGACAGCCGGCACCGTGTCCGCCGTATCCCAGCCCTAAGGAGCAGTGTCCCTCTCCTGCCTGGCTCACCTCAGGGGAGGTGGCTTCTCACTGGCCCTGATGCTCCCCAGGAGGCTCTCCGTCTGGGGGTGGCGGTTTGGCTGGCAGCCCCAGTCTTGCATCCGTTGGCTGAGGGTGGTGTGGAAATGTGTGCCCCCAGGCAGGAGTGCGTGGCCACCGAGGAGAACCCCCAGGTGTACTTCTGCTGCTGCGAGGGTAACTTCTGTAACGAGCGTTTCACCCATTTGCCGGAGCCTGGGGGCCCAGAAGGTGAGGGGCCAGCGGAGGGGGGCCTGATCGGGGCCTCTTGTTGGCCTAGGAGCTCTCGGCTCCGAGTCGGGTGGGGAGTGGTCATAGGGCCCCTGGTTTGGCCCTGGAGGTGTGGGGGTGGGCGGGCTGTGTGACGCGGGGCTCCCTGTGTCCCCAGTCACGTACGAGCCACCCCCGACAGCCCCCACCCTGCTCACGGTCCTGGCCTACTCGCTGCTGCCCATCGGGGGCCTCTCCCTCATCGTCCTGCTGGCCTTCTGGATGTACCGCCATCGCAAGCCCCCCTACGGCCACGTGGATATCCACGAGGTGAGATGGGGCTGCCCTGGGGTGGGGCAGGCTGGAGGTGGGAGGCCAGGCCAGACCCTAGGAGGCCCTTGGTCTCTCCCAGGACCCTGGGCCTCCTCCCCCATCCCCTCTGGTGGGCCTGAAGCCGCTGCAGCTGCTGGAGATCAAGGCACGGGGGCGCTTCGGCTGTGTCTGGAAGGCACAGCTCATGAACGACTTTGTGGCTGTCAAGATCTTCCCGCTCCAGGTGGGTGCTTGAGGGCCTCCCGGACCGCCACCCCCACTGCGACCTGAGCTCCGGAGCCTTCCCCACTCCAGGACAGTCCAGGCCTCGTGTACATGGTGGAGTGAGGGTAAAGTGGGCCACCCCACCGCCCGTTGAGGGGGTTACTCACCCTACTCTCGGCTGATACACAGGTTTCACACAGAAAGTGAATTTCCTGGAGCCTGGAGTAGGTTTTGCAAAACCTGTTTTCAAAACATTGATCCGCTCGGGTTTTCGGGTTTGTTTTTCCTTTTGATGTCAGGTTCTGCTCAGAGGACCTGGATACCAGGCCACCCCAAGTGATTGTCCAGGACACTTGGCAGGCTCGCTTTGCCTCTCGTTTGTTGGGCGACATCGGGCCTCTGCCTCCCCTCTCTGGGCCTCAGTGGCCCAGGTTGTAAATTGAGGGGCTGGCCCTGTGTGATCTTGGGATCGTATTGGCCTGATGCTCCAGGGCCCACTCAGTCCGGGTCTTCTGCCTGCCCCGTTACCCGTCCTGAGGCTGCGAGGCCAGGGGCTGGGGTGTGGGGTGGGAGTGGCTTTTGTGCTGCAGGGTGACGTGGCTGCAGTGGGGCTGAGCTGCATCCCGCCGCAGGACAAGCAGTCCTGGCAGAGTGAGCGGGAGATCTTCAGCACGCCAGGCATGAAGCACGAGAACCTGCTGCAGTTCATTGCCGCTGAGAAGCGCGGCTCCAACCTCGAGGTGGAGCTCTGGCTCATCACGGCCTTTCACGACAAGGTGAGCCACACCCGGTGAGCCACGCCCCGTGGGAAGGTGAGCTGACCTAGTCCTCATGGGGGCCTTCCTCAGTAAGGTGACCTCTGACCCTGGCAATGTTCATGATGAGGTGACCTCTGACCCCATGACAGTGTCCATGTTGAGGTGATCTCTGACCCTGTAGCAGTGTCCATGATGAGGTGACCTCTGACCCCCATGACAGTGTTCATGATAAGGTGACCTCTGACCCCGTGGCAGTGTCCACAGTAAGGTGACCCCTGACCCCCTGGCAGTGTCCACAATATGGTGACCTCTGACCGTGGCAGTGTTCATGATGAGGTGACTGCGTACCCTGTGGCAGTGTCCACGATAAGGTGACCTCTGACCCCGTGGCAGCATCCACATTATGTTGACCTCTGACCCCGCGGTAGTGTCCATGATGAGGTGACCTCTGACCCCGCGGTAGTGTCCATGATGAGGTGACCTCTGACCCCGCGGTAGTCTCCATGATGAGGTGACCTCTGACCCCGTGGTAGTGTCCATGATGAGGTGACCTCTGACCCCGCGGTAGTCTCCATGATGAGGTGACCTCTGACCCCGTGGTAGTGTCCATGATGAGGTGACCTCTGACCCCGTGGTAGTGTCCATGATGGGGTGATCTCTGACCCCGTGGTAGTGTCCATGATGAGGTGACCCTTGCCATGGGCGTGGACTTGGCTGTCTATGACAGGAATCAGTAACCCTGGGATAAGCTCTTTTAAGAGTGGTGACCCGTGGTGACCTTCATGATCAGGTGACTGCTGCTCCCTGACTCCTGCCCTCTGACCTCCATCCCCTTGTGGCCTCATCTGCCTTCTGCGTCAGCTACAGCCTCCCAGGAGAGGTGCCCAGCCGCTGGTCTCTGAGCCGTCCCCCCTGGGCTGGCTGTGTCCTGCTCTGCAGCTGAGTCTGCCCGTGCTCTGCACTGCTTCCTAGGGCTCCCTCACGGATTACCTCAAGGGGAACATCATCACGTGGAACGAACTGTGTCACGTGGCAGAAACCATGTCACGCGGCCTCTCGTACCTGCATGAGGACGTGCCCTGGTGCCGTGGAGAGGGCCACAAGCCGTCTATCGCCCACAGGTACCCAGCTCAGCAGGTGCTCTCCCTGCCCTGGGCCTGGAGCTGCAAGAGAGTTGGAGGGCCGGGCTCAGGGGTCTTAGCTTAAATGCTTAGCCTGTTTGCGGCGTGTCAGGGCGAGCGGACACGCAACGTGGGCTTTCTCCTGCCTTCCACCTGTGTCCTGGGGTGGGGTGCCCTCTAGTGGTCCTGTGAGGACCTGCCGGCCCTGGTCCTTGGTTGTGAGTTGGCTCAGCCATTCCCAAACTTTTTGTTAAGATCCGTTTGCTCTCTCAAACAGAACTTTTGTGTATGTGGACTTTATTGACAGTTGCTGTGTTAGAACACACGTGTTCTGTTAATCGTCAGAGCGATGACATCGTACATTGTATAGCCTCTGGATAATTGTCTGGATACTCCTGAGAAAATGAGCTTAGAAAAGACAGATAGCATCCTATTACGAAAATCATTTTGACCTTGCAGATCCCCTGAAACAGTCTTGGGAGGGAAACCTTCCCCCCAGGTCCTTGGATCACACTTTGAGAACCACTGTCTCAACTTTTAACGTGATTTAAAAAAAAAACCAAAAACACCAAACCCGTTGCCGTTGAGTTGAGTCCGACTCATGGCGACCCTAAAGGACGGAGTAGAACCGCCCCACAGGGTTTCTAAGGAGTGGCTGGTGGATTCAAACGGCTGACCTTTTGGTGAGCAGCCAAGCTGTTAACCACCGCGCTACCAGGGATCCACTTACTGTCATAGTGTGTACTGAATGGCAGACGCTGCTCCAAACACTTGACAAATTCCGGCTACTTTAGCCCTCGTTACCATCCTGAGATAGGTACTGCTTTTCTCAGCACCTGCATACAGAGGAAGGAAATGCGGAGAAGTCGAGTGGCTCACCCCAGGTTACATAGTATAGTTTGATGCTGTGGCTGTGAGGGAGAGGAATGAGTCTCAGATTCCAGAGCTCAGAGCCGAAGGGCCCCAGATGGTAATGCTAACAACGACCTAGAAGCTTGGCTGTATGAAGTGGCTGTTTTCATAGGTCACAAACAGCCAAATGCCAGCCCGTCTGTGGGGTTCAGCCTAGCAGCAGTGCGTGCTAAGCGTGGCAGGTGTGGCCCTAAGTGTTTGCATGTATGCCTCAGCTTAATCCTCACAGTCAGGCTGAGACAGGCCCTGGGGAACCCGAGGACCAGACGCGGCTCTGTTAGTGAGCGGTGCAGCCGAGCGCATGTGCCAGCACCCTGTTCCACCCCTGCCTTCGTGGCGGGCTTGAGCTTCTCAGGGCCTGCCCAGAAACGGCAAGTTAAATTTAAATCTCTGTTCTCACTCACATCCCAGATACTGTAAAATTTTCCCCAGAAAACTCCAGTGTGCTTGCCCCAATGCTTCTGGGACTGCAGAGGCTGCCTTTGGATATTGCTGGGACTGGGAAGGGGCCTGCCCAGCTCCTTGCTGTGCCGTCGGAAGCGCAGCTGGGGGCTCTGGCGGCTGGCGTAGGTTCCTGGAGCTGCCTGCCTCACCCCCGTGTGGACCCTGCTCCTCAGATCGGGTGGGATGGCCTGGTCTGGGGTCTCTGGGAGCTGTAGGGCACAGACTCTCGTATCTGGGAGTCAGGGTGGGAAGCCAGGAGCAGGGCAGGGGTCCTGCGATGTGCAGCTGAGCTCGCCCACCTGTCCCCACAGGGACTTTAAAAGCAAGAACGTCTTACTGAAGAGTGACCTCACCGCCGTGCTGGCTGACTTCGGCTTGGCCGTCCGGTTTGAGCCAGGGAAACCTCCAGGGGACACCCATGGGCAGGTAATGAGCCTCAGGGGCATGGGGGGCTGGCAGAGGGATGGACCTCGGCAGGGATGGACCTCTGTGCTCTTGTGCTCGGCTGGGGGACACCTAGGGGCAGGATCATTGAGCTCAGAGTTTCTCAGAGAACAGTGTCTTGGTTTTACCAGGGGCACCAAGGCCTGCAGTGTGCGTAGCTTCCTCAGCTAGTCAGCTGAGACGCAGCAGATTCCCCGTTGGGGCTTTGACCACTTGTCCTTGTAGCCTGTCTCTCTCTCCCTCTTTGTTTCAGTTTTAATTATTAAGCAAGATAAAACAGGAGGAAAATGTACAAAGAATCCAAATTAACAACCTAGAAAAAGTTACTCAAAACTGAACGTAAGCAAATCATCGGAAAACAATCGCTGTTGATGTTTTTAAGTACCTTCCCCTCTCCCTTTTGTGTTTTGGACTTCATCTCAGTAAAAGTCTGGGTAGCTCCTGGTGATATTGATGCAGTAATTGGATAGCGGTTCCATTTTAGATTAGTGCTGTCTCCAGTGTGTGGTATTTTAAAATTATTATCGAGTCGTGGTCCTCTTGTTATTGTTAGGTGGGTGGATTCTGACTCATAGCGACTCCACGTGTTACTGCCCCATAGGGTTTTCTTGGCTGTAATCTTTACGGAAGTAGGCTGCCAGGTCTTTCTCCCTTAGAGCCACTGGGTGGGTTCGAACCAGTGACCTTTTGGTTAGCAGCCAGGTACTTAACCATTGCGCCACCAGGGCTCCTTGGCCCTCCCGTGATGGTGGCTGATCAAGGATTGCTGTCGTTGGTGTCTTGGGCTGACTCCACTGACTCACCCCTTGCCTGGTGCCCCGACTGTGTGCATTTGTGACTGTAGACCCTGCCCTGTCCTTGTAGGTGGGCACGCGACGGTACATGGCCCCCGAGGTGCTAGAGGGAGCCATCAACTTCCAGAGAGACGCCTTCCTGCGCATTGACATGTACGCCATGGGGCTGGTGCTGTGGGAGCTCGTGTCTCGCTGCAAGGCTGCGGATGGTGAGCAGGACAGGAGCCCGAGCGTCCTGGGTGGGGGCTGGGGCACAGGGGCCGCCAGGTGACCCTGAGGGCCTGTCTCATCCCAGGGCCCGTGGATGAGTACATGCTGCCCTTTGAGGAAGAGATCGGCCAGCACCCGTCACTGGAGGAGCTGCAGGAGGTAGTCGTGCACAAGAAGATGCGTCCCGCCATTAAGGATCACTGGCTGAAGCACCCGGTGAGGCCCAGGGCCTGGGTGGTGGGTGCCCCTGCAGGAACCAGAGAGGGGGCCCCTCCATGTGGGGCAGGAACCGGCAGCGTGGTAGCCGTCCACCCAGGGCAGTGTCTGGGCAGGGTCCATCCTCTGCAGGGACGGCTCTGGGTGTGCCCCAAGAGTGACGGAGTCTGATCATCAGCTCCACCAGGGCTCGGGTTGTCCACCTGTGAGGCTCACCTGTGCCACCTGCGATAAATACATCTGGGCCTGACACACCTGGGTCTGAGTCCTGGATCTGCTGCTCAGTAGCTGGATGACTTGGGGCAAGTTGCTTTATTTCTTTGAGCTGTTTGGTCATGGAGTACTGTAATAGATTTAATGAGTTGTCGTCGTGAAACTCTCGGCAGGACACTGTCAGGTATGTGCTTAACGTGGGGTCA